CATGAAAGATTATTAGCATAATTAAAAAGATGCATGATCTTTCGTCAAGTACAGTGTGACCTGCTAACCGTTATGGCAAATTCGTTCCTACTGACGTTTGTCGTACAGCATGGAGGAGAGGAATCCCCCATGTTGCTTGCAATTTCTCCTCATTGACCACTGCAGCCAATACAAAGGAATGAAGCTACCTCTGCAAGAGTGAGCGGCATCTATGTAAACTTCGTTACATTTGAGGGGGAGTAATCTGCATTGTTCGCAGACAACTCCAAAATTGCGGCACCACTGTTCCTAATTCTCAAACAGATGCACGTTGGTCTGCGTCTCTCGATTTACTTCAAGAAGACGAAGTGGATGGATACTCTTAGGAGCCAGGACAACGACTCACCGTCCCTTGCTGTCAGTTATGGAAACGGTAGCATAACATCTGTATGTTGGGAGTACATTTACTGAAAACGGACGAAGTAAAGAGGCGCTGTGCATGGGCATCAGCAACGAGCAACAAGTTAAGCAAGCTGTGGAAGGTCAAACATGCTGGCAAATGCACAAAGCTGCTGATATATAGCACTTCCTATGTGGTTTGGAAACAACAGCGTTTAGCAAAGCTGAAAACAGATAACTGGAAACGAAAGAAGTGATAAAATTTTAAGATTAGGATTAGGAGTGAAGAGGTATCACCTGATGTCAGTTGCTGCTGTACGCGAGAGATTAAAATATCCCACTTTAAACGACAGACTGACTGCAAACAATGCGAATATGATCGTGGGCGAATGAGCTAGAGTTGTCCTATAAAACGGATACTGGACGTCAAACCAGAGAGCAGACGGCCGCGAGGAAATCTTCTACAAGATGGAAAGATCTAGCTAGAACTGGCATAGCATCGAAAGGATTGAGGAATGAGCACGTATTTATTCGATCATTCGGTGGAACGCTTGTACGGCACTCGGCGTTGTCTTTCATGCAGTGGGGTAAGCAAAAGAAGAATAATACGAAGAATAGTGTTCTGAAAATTCATATACCTTCTTGAAGGTTCCGTCAGGTTTCCGGGAATGTAGAAACGTGATTGAATGCTGGAACGTGCTAAATGCCGGCTCTTGTTTCAGTCGAGTCTACTGTACCCTTTGTTGACATTCAGATGAACTTCTCAAAGTGCTCGTTTTGCTTCCGTAATTCATATGGTCACTCTTCCTTGATGTTGCTGAGAAACACTCCTTGATGGAATGGAACGCACCATCTGGCACTCTCTCCTCAAAATGTCCCGAGCCTGACTACGCCGCACGTTGATCTCTTGGTCTAGAAAATGTACTTATCCGACGCCTTTGGCCCTCTCGCCGTCAAATAATATCTGGGCCTTCAGCAGGGCATCAGACCGCAGTATCTTTGTCTTTCGCTGATCGATTCGCAGTCCGGCTTGCGCACTGTTTTTGTCCAGTTCTTGCAGCATACACTGCAGCAGCCTTTCTTTCTTACGAGGCTGATAAACGAGTACCACTCTGCGGACAGGCAACAAGGGACTGCACACTATGCCTGTCCCA